CTCTGCTCCAGACGTCGGAGGCAAACGTGGCTCGCAGATAGCGCTCAAATGGTGGACACACCACAGGAATGCAGCTGGGAGGCTCCTGGAACTTTCCACTGGCTAGGCAAGAAATCTCGAAGTTTTGCAGATTCTGCTGATCAGAGCGGTGAAATCCCAGCTCGCACCGGCCTGACAACTTCTGTCCGAACCTATACGAGGTGTTGGCATCGTACGTCACCGTGGAGTTCGCCGGGACTGCCTCTGCCGCAAACTTCCCGCAAACCACGGGCTCGCAGAGTGGGCCCGCCTCCCACTCACAGGCCGAGAGAGTATCGTCGGCTGTTCCACATCTCCTCATGAAGATCGACTGACTGCCATTGCCCCCGAGCCCGTGACCCTCCTTGCACCGAAACTCCCGGCAGGGCTGCCCATACAAGGCAGGACGGATGGAGTTGGACTGCTGCAGGACGTTGTGGTCAACTTCAACGTACGGTCTGCAGGAGGCCGGGACACACTGGAGCAGATCCTGCCTGTCGAACATCTGGTCGGCTTGACAAGTTGACTCGAACGTCTTCGAGCAGCGATGGACGAAGCTCGGAGCCGCGACGAGGCCGATGGGGCAGCGGACGACGACCTTCTGACCGACAGTGACGGACTGGTTGCTGCTGGAAACGACAAGGAAGCCTGTCACGTTGTAGGGGCGACACTTCTTGGGGGCACAGACCTGCTGGGAGCTCATGTTGCAGTTGTCAAGACACACCGAGCTGCGCAGGCTTGCAGGAATCTCTTCGTTGGCACTGCAAGGCACCTGAAAACTTGAACCGAGCAACACGTCCCTGTACTGCCAGTAGCCTCCCAGCTGCCACGTCACCCTGCACGTCTTGGGGACGCAGCGCTGGTAGTTCTCCCACAGCCCTTGACCGTTGCAGCTTGTCAAGTACCACGACTGCGGACATCCCTCCTCCGACCCCGCATAGGTCTCAGGCATGAAACCTTGCTGGCACGTGACGTTGATGATGGCACCATACCTCTGCTCGACCTGACCTGACAGTGTCGATGCCGTGTCTGCTACCCACACCACCTGACCGTTGACCTCTTTGACTGTCTCGGCTGACTTGGCGTTTGCTGGCATCTCGAAGCGAACGCAGCGAAAGGGAAGGCAAGGAAATACGTTGAGCGACAAGTACTGGCAGCGATCGCCTGAGAGGGGCTTCGACAGCGTTGAGCTGAGCTGAGAGATGTTGGAGCAAGGCACTGCCTGGGTTCTCGGAGCGTTGAATGCGCAAACATCGTTCGAGCACAACTTGGGGTCATCGGAGCTTGCGCACGCGTACCCCATGTCACAGACGATGAAGCAAGATTGGAGCTCGCAAGAGTCGATTGAGCTGGAATTTGAACGCGAAGAAAGCAACTTTCCATCCTCAAGACATGTGACTTTGAACCTGGAGGCGCACTCAAAGAGGTTGCTGGAGGAGAGGCGATAGCTTGAGTTGCATTCGATCTCAGCAAAGTCTCCAGAGAGCAGGACAAGGGAGGAACCACCGGCTACAGTCTGTTGGAGAGGCGGAGAAACTGACAGGTTGTACCTCGTGGCCATGCTGTTGGCTGGTACAGTGAAGGAAGGACAAGGCACTCTCTGACAGATGGGCAGATCCATCCCGCACGTTCCATCGCTCTTGGCAGCGCATGTCACTTCCTTGGTTCGGGCAGTCGTTCCAGCCACCGCATAGTTGACAGGGCATGTGATGTTCACCCGCTGACCTGTCAAGATCGCTCCCCCCAGGTGAAACCCAGGAACTGAGGTGGAATCAACCATGTCGAACCCGTCGGATGTCTTGTAAGGGAAGTCGACAGGTGGGCAGGAGGCCGCAGCACAAGTGAGGTCGTCGGTGATGCTGATCTGACAGCTCCTGCAGACAGCGTTGATGATGCTTGTGGGGTTGCACACAGGACGAGGAATCGAGAGGTTGGAAGAGATCGGTACGAATCCGTTCGCACATGAGAATTGCAGCTGGGCAAGGTGAGGGATTGTGCTGGAGATGGAGATCTCAGGGCCAAGTACATACCGAGCGGTTCCAAAGTGAGGAAACGTCAGGAGCTGAGAAGCAGGGCAGCCGAGGTCGCAACGGCTGGCGCACGTCTGGGGGATGCATCGTTTGATGGGGGCAGCGCCGCAGGAGCACGCGACCACCTGGACGGTCTCGCAGACGGAGGGAGTGTCGTCCTCCAGCATGTATCCGGCCTCACAGTAGACGGTTCGAGAGTCCTTGTGCTTGAGCATCAGACTTGCGGCAGCCGGCACGGTGAAGGTGTGAGGGGGCAGCTGGAGAAAGCAGTTCTGCTGGACGATGTTGCAGTTTGACAACCTCGAGAAGCAGCCCTTCTCACACTTGGCGTCTCCAAACTGCTTGCACTCGTTGTCGACAGGTTCAGCATTAGCGGAGCGACATTGAAAGAACCTTGAGATGAAACCCTCGGTCACAGTCGTGTTGGGTATCGTCTCGGCGAGAGGGTCCTGGAACCTCTGGTCGAAGCTGCAGGAGGTCGAGCAACCGCTGCCGCACGTCATGGCCGTGCACTGGATCTGCTGGGGGCTGAACGTGGAGTCTGCGGGCATCTTGAAGAGGAGAGTACCGTCGGAGCACGTCATCTGATACATGACCTGACACGTCGTTGTTCCTTGCACTGCCGTGCCGGACGGACAGTAGACCTCGTAGACGTCGCCGTGCAAGAAGGGACGAGGCAGCCTGCCGCTGACGAAGTGACCGGCTGGCAGGGTGTCCTGACAGGAGACGGGCTTGCAGGAGGGGCTCGAGTAGTTGAGTTGACATTCGCTGCTGCAGCTCAGGATGACGGAGCGAGGAGAGGAGCCGTCAGGGTACGCCACAAGAGACGAGGCGGGACGATATCCAACATCGCAGGAGAGGTTTGCTGTCATCGTGCTTGACAAGTTCCAGCTGATGTTTGCGTACTTGTTGTACCATCTCAAGAGGTTCTTGTCGTAATCCTCCCCGCCCATCAGCGACACAACACCATTCGGTACCGCAGAGAGCGAGCAGTGGACTGGGACGCAGTGAAGGCGATCAAAGTCGCATGGGGAGTAGCTGGGATCGCTCGTTGTGTCCCCACGAGCACATCGAGCTGAGAATCGGCGAGAACTATCACACGAGGTCGAGAAGGAGTCAAGAGGAGCGGCGCGGTAGCCTTGCACACAAGTCACATCGACTGTGTCCCCGACGTTCAAAGTCAAGCTCAGATTCAACAAGCTGCTGTTGTAGTGACGTAGACCGGAGACGAGGTTGGTCATGGGGCAAGCCGCTCGCACACAAGAGAAGTCGTTGAGGTCGAGATTGAGCTGCGGTCTCCCATTCGCTGCAGACCAGGAGCAGTTGACTACCATCTTGAAGGGGCAGGTGCTGTTGGAGGGCAGCCGGGAGTGCTTGATTGTGTACCCGTAAGCGCAAACAATGTGATCAGAGTCTTTATAGGCGATCCCCCCGTCAGCGACTGTACTGGCCTTCTCCCAGGAGAGGAGGCTGTTGCTGATGGTGCTGTTGCATGCTGAAGGGATACACATCCCAGCAACTGTTGAAAGGGCCCCAGTCCACTTGCACTGCATAACATTGCTTCCTCCAGACCAGTGAAACCCAGGAATACAATCTATCTTAACGGTTTCATACACGCTCGTCGGCCTTGCTGGGTTTGCTACACCTGTTTTCATTCCTGTCGCTGCTTTGCACATGGAAGAGTCGGTACAAGTCAAGTACTTGTCGGTAACCTGGGAGCAACGCATAGCTACACATGACACATCCATGTTCGTCAACTGGCCGTTGCCGCTGCAGATGCGGGAGAAGGTGACGTGTGCTGGACTCTCCAGGTTGTCTCCCTTCAAGTGCGCTGAATCGTTTCTCATGTAACCATAATTGCACGAAACCTCGACACTCCTCCCGTACTCGATATCCCTATGTGAAGGCTCGATGACCCCGTTGGACACATTCTGGTTTCTGCATGAGATGATTGCGCAAGAGCTGTAGTTCCCGAAGGTACAGTTCTCATTGCACATGGGGCTACTCTCGCCTCCTGTAAGCCTGTATCCTTCATTGCAAAAGATTTCACTTGCCCGCCCTTGAGGACAGGCCCACTGGCTGGTACCGTGTACCCGTTGGAGATCACTGGAGGGCCCCCGCAGGACTTTGGGACGCATTGATGCCAACCGAGCATCCCGTTGTTCTCGACGAACTGCGAGCTGCTTCCACACAGCAACTCTAACTTGGTCGGAGTACACACCTGACCAGCGCAGAGCTGAAAGACGCCGACTACCCAAGCTGAGATCAGGTAGACCTTAGGGTAGCTCGACGTCATCGTTTGCGATCCTCAAAAGCTCAAGCAAAACTCCAGGCTGAGGGAACCGAATGCGAAAGGAAGAAAGACGCCGACAGCATTCAACCTGTCCGTGGCCTTTCGATGTTCGCGTGGATAGAAAATACTACACAGCACATAGTTAGAGTTTGAACCGATTGATTTTTCTTTATCTTCTGTTCTGATTGTTTCTTCCTACAATCTATTCTTCCAACAATCCATCTTGTAAATGCTTTCTCCAACTCCCTTTGCCCATTCCACAGGTCACTTCTACTGACCCCTCACTCTCCCCTACCCTCTACTCATTCCCCCTCGCCCCTCATCACCGATTCAAAGTTGTAGATGTAACCTTAAAAATTGCTCCTTCTCTCTCTACCCATGTGTTCCTCCCTGATCATTTCCTTGAATTTCTCACACCCAGAGAACCTTGTCCACTTTCATTTACCTTTTGAAACAGACTGCTAACACCTGATGGCCGATATTCGTTTTGGTTGCTTCAGATGAAGACAACTCACAGAACGAGCTACACCAAATCGTCTCAAACCCAGGTTCTAATGTTCTCTACAATAGTTGTGAATGTCTTGGAGGACGGGAAATTTTGTGAGTAACCTGACAGGGTTGCAATGTACGCCATGAGTGCTTTTGTGTCTCTTTCTCTCTCGATTGGCCAAGGGCTGTCCATGTGTAGAGCAACAGATGCATGTTCAGCTCTGCTTGTGCATCCCTCCCTTCCTCCCCTCTCCTTCCCTCTCGTCACTCCACTCCTTCCCTCCTCTCCTCTGTAGCAGCATTTGCACGGAGTCACATTTGACAATCCATTGGTCCTTTTTCTGCGGGGGTCTCAAGATTCTCAAATATTGTGAAATCAGATCCTACAGTTTCAAACTATATCAAGAAATTTTGTGAAGAAAACCTATTTATCAGGTGACAGATTGAAATGGTGAAATTTACTTTCACCCATCAGGAAGGGTCCTCTCTGAATTCCTCTTGGTCTGACAGATGCAGGACATGCCAATAGGCTCTTTTTTACTCAAAGTTAAGTTAAAAATCAGTACGAGGACAATCAGCAGACACATGCCGGGGCCGGCCCGGCGTGATCGGACGGTTCAAGTGTCAACCTGGCACGCTGCGCCGGCCCGGAACTTGGAATCGGACCGGCGAGGCTCGGCTGAACATTCAATGATGCGGCATCACATTGCATTCACAAAGGCCCCACATGCGGCAGTGCAGTTCAGTGCTGAACTGGCCGGGCGACTTTCAAGCCGGAAGGGCCTGATCGGGGAGGACCGGCCGGGCCGCCCGTCACGCCGGCCGGCCCAGACGGGGGCCGCCGGGTGGCCAGGGAGTGGTACTGAGGCGGGCCCAGGCGGGCGTGATGACTGCTTCGGAGGCGGGCCCGGGAAAGTTCCGGCTATCAATACAAAATGTTGTCAGCAATGACATTTACTACAGGATTCACTTCATAACCCACCCTTGACTCCCGATACCGACCTACCGGTGGTCTACGGACACATTACCTATGTAATGATGGGGTAGAATTCAGCCCTTTCAGATCCCCTACCCCTGTGGGTGATTGAGGAGATCCGTGTCAATGACCCCTACCCCTTCTTATCCTTTTGAAGAGAGGGTGGTAATGACCAAAGTCACAAAATGAGTAACCGTATAACGGTCAACTTCTGGCATCGTCTGCCCAAAGCGAGTGGTTTCGGGATTTTCCTGGATTTCAGGTCCCAAGGGTCGGAAATAGAAAACTAGGTCCATAGATGGTAGGGGTACTATTTGTAGGGTTATTCCAAACATTATCACATGGTCCATGTAATCGTTTACAAATTATGTCAGTAATCTTGAAATTATAGATGCCTTTTTGATAATTTCGTGTAAATCGAATTTTTAGCTTCAAGTCATCAGGGTGGGGTGAACTACCCTACCTGAATACAATAATTTGTCGGACAGTGCAGATATCCATCCACCACCCTACCATACTACTTCGAATCATCTTTTTATGAGTACCCGTACTTTTCTCTTCAAAGCACCCCTTAATTTGGAAGATTGATGAACTACCCCACCCATGGCATTCTTACCCACCCCTTTCACGAATACACACTCATCACGCCAAAGTTTCCGTCTCCCGTTCCAGCACACGTTCCCGCAAATTCTCGCCGCTCCTCCGCCTCCGCCTCCCCTCCTCCCCTCCCCTCCTCCCCTCCTCCCTCCCCTCTCCTTTGTCACTCTCCTACTTCCTCTCTATCGCCCGATACTCAGTTCCCCTTTGTATTCCTCTCCGCTTCTCGTAATTCTGCTCCGCAAGATTCCGGCGTTCCGTGCAACACTTCATCAGTTGCTGCATCTAGCTCTTGATCTTGTTTCTGGGACTCAGTTCAGACCGTCGATTCTTCCAGAAGTCTTTTTGTGCTCCAAGGCCGCTTAAAATTTGTCCCGACAACAAGAGCGTCTTGTTTCTCTTGCACGAAACAAGACGGCAAAATGAGTTTTGTGTTCCGGAAGCGCAAGCAGGCGACTATATCTGTGTCCCTGAATGGTTGCAACTTCAAAGGGAACGAAGAGATCTCAAGGATTGTCTGTCGGAAACCTGTGCCAACAGATAACAGAGCAAGGTGGAGGAAAGCGATTTGGTATGTCTTGCAGGAAGCTAGGAGGATTAGAACCGAACGAACCAAGGACGTCCCCCAAGAGAGCCGCACGAGATCGCCATGTACCCCTACAGTCTTCAACGTCCTACAGAAGAGAGCAGGGGCATGGACCACCCCTTCAAGGCTCCTGCTCCCCTCTGAAACATTGGAAACGCAATCGTCCCTGGAAGATCTGAGCCCGGTAGAGCCGGAGAGTGACGACATGAGCGCAACCTCAAGGTCCGTCAGCCCTGCCCAGAGCTTCAAGGACGCTCCTACTCCTCATGAGACCCAAACTGCCGCAGAGACAACATCAGTGCTGCAGTCAAGCCTGTTCATCGTAGCGCAATGGCTATGCGTGTGGTTTGTTATCCTGGTCCCGGATCTCTGCCTCCTCTTTGCCAGCGACGAACAAACGCACAGAATCGTGCTGCTGACAACAATCTTCTGCTGGTGCTTCTTCAGTGTGGAGCTTGTTTTCCGCCTGCTGTTTCACAAGCAGTACTTCCTGTCCATGTACTTCTTTCTGGATTGCTTCTCCTTCCTGTCACTCGTTCCAGCCGTTGCGGAGCTCGCGGGCCAAGAAAGGCACTACCTCTACCCTCTGCGCCTCTTCGTGCTCTTCCGCGGTTGGAACATCGCAAGAGCTGGGTCGCAACTGTCGTACATCCTTGATTTCGATATGAGGAAAATCTTGGCCCTGGGGATGCCCTTAGAGCCTCTGGGGCTCGAAAGGATCCAAGAGGAGAGGGATAGGGATTTCCACCGGCTGTTCGTACGATGGTGCTGCGGGATCACTTTTATGTTCCTCTTTCTTGTTGTCCTGCAGAATTTCCTCCAAGTCAACATTGACACCCCAGCTGTGGCCCTGCAGATACTGGCCAACAACTTCCAGCTCCTGGCGAATTCTGATCCCGGGGATGCTGACTTCCAGGTCCTCTTGCGGTCCTTCCAGAACCTGACGAGGAGCGAAGGCATCGACTTGCTCTTGCTGAACCTCGGAGGACATGTCCTCATTGACAACGTACGCGCCTGCAGCACTACCCCCTGCTGGATGCCGCACATGCTCCGTGCCACCTGCAGTCTGCCTCACCAGGACAACGGCTCCAGCGCTTGCGAGCTCCTGTACGAGAGCTCGTACCCTCTGCTCAAAGAAGCCATGTTCCGGACTCTCATCTCCGTCACTTGCATGCTTGTTCTGTTCGCCTCCAGCTGGAGTTTCGCGGCCCTGTTCACTGAGCGGTTCTCGAAGCCGTTGGACAAGATCGTGGGAAAGATCGAGAAGATCTCAGCTAATCCGCTGCACACGATCGTGTCCGAGGAGATTCCTCAGCCGCAGATCATGAAGATCGACCGTTGGATCTCCGAGCTCACAAGCATGCTTCAGCTGGGCTTCGGAGAGGCAGGCTCGAGGTTCATCTCGAAGAACCTCAAGGGAAGGACCTTCTCTGAAATCATTACCAAGGAGCCAGGATCTATTGTCAATGCCTTCTTCGGCTTCTGCAACCTGAGGAACTACGAAGACATCGCTGAGATCGAGGGAAGAAACGCCATCCACATTGTCAACCGCATCGCAAACTCCTTGCATACAGCCGTCACTCAGTCGCACGGGGACCCAAACTCGAACCTCGGACATGCCTTTCTGGTGCACCTCTCCTCCTCCTCCTCCTCCTCCTCCTCCTCCTCCTCCTCCTCCTCAATCTCCTCCTCCTTCCCCCACCTCTCCTCCTCAATCTCCTCCTAACGCCCTTTTCGCAGCTCGTGTGGAAGTCGAAAGGCGTTCGGAACATCCAGCAAGTTGCCGACGCGGCTCTTCGTTCCTACGTGCAGTGTATCCTAGAGACGACCAGGGCAGAGTTCCGACAGGACTTGTTCGAGAGGAGCAAGACTATCGAGCTTGACCTTTGCTTTGGGCTCCACTTCGGGTGAGTCTCTCCTCCCCTTCCCTCCTGCCCGTCTCTTCTCTTCCCTCTGCTCCTCCTCTCCCCTCCCTCCCCTCCCTTCCCCTCCTTCTGCTCCTCTTCTCCCTTCCCTCCTCCCCTCCCCTCCCCTCCTTCTGCTCCTCCTCTCCCATCCCTCCTCCCCTTCCCTCCCTCCTCCTTCCCTCGCTCTGCATAGCTTCAGCTCACTCGTGCATGGTAGATGGGCCGTCGAGTGCGCCATCGGGTCGGAGTGCAAGGTAGATCTTTCCTACCTCAGGTGAGCCGCATCTCCTCTCCCGCTTCCACAGACTCACTTGTGTCCCAGTCCGCATGTAAACATCGCATCTCGCCTTCAAGCCGCTTCATCGCAGTACGGCGTCTCCATCCTGATCTCTGGGGACGTGTTCTCCCTCCTCTCCCTCCCCCTCCAGGAGCTCTGCAGGAAGATAGACAGGGTGACTCTTAAAGGAAGCAAGTCCCCTGTCGACCTCTACACCTTCGACGAGCCGCAGCTGGAGAGCAGGGGAGGAACGCTCAAGGACGACATCGACTTGTCCTCCCTCTCCTCCAGCGCAGACTTCTTCGAGGCTGTACAACCCAGCACGGACAAGGATTTCCGCGCTGAGTTCTCAAAGGCCATCTACCTGTACCTCGGGGGACAGGACGGGAAGGAGGCGAACTGGATGGCTGCTCGGCAGCACCTCTGCAACTGCCTGAGGAGGAGGCCCGAGGACGGACCCAGCAAGACGATCCTGTCGGTCATCGACGAGGAGCTCTTCAAGCCTCTGCAGCAGAGGAGCAAGTGGACGGGATACCGCAAACTTGAGCACAAGTAGGCAAGGGAGGAGGGAGAGCAGAGGACGGCAAGGAGGGGAGGAGGGCGGAAGGCGGACGAAGAGGCAGAAGGGGAAGATGGAAGGAGAGCCGGGGGGGGAAGGAGAAGGGGCTGAGGGGGGGAAGGGAGGCAGCAGTTTTTACGATAGAGGTTTTCTGAGATTAACGCGTTTCAAGACGCGGGTGTATTGGACTCGAGCTGGGCAGCTTTGTGAATTTTCCTTGTAAAGCACTAGACATGTAGATAACAGATGAATCAATCGAATGAAATAATGAATTTCAATCAGTAAATTTTGAATTTCAATGATCAACAGAAAACGAATTCGTCATGGTAGAAGTGCTACCAGAGCGAACAAAGAAAGACTCTAGGACATGGCTATCAAGTCAAAAGATTGGTGGAACTTGCTGAAGTAACATCTCAAGGCTTGAAAGCTCAATTGAAGAAACAGGGTGAAACTTCGTCAATCAATTGAAGAAACAGGGTGAAACCTCGTCAATCAATTGAAGAAACAGGGTGAAACTTCGTCAATCAATTGAAGAAACAGGGTGAAACTTCGTCAATCAATTGAAGAAACAGGGTGAAACCTCGTCAATCAATTGAAGAAACAGGGTGAAACCTCGTCAATCAATTGAAGAAACAGGGTGAAACTTCGTCAATCAATTGAAGAAACAGGGTGAAACCTCGTCAATCAATTGAAGAAACAGGGTGAAACTTCGTCAATCAATTGAAGAAACAGGGTGAAACCTCGTCAATCAATTGAAGAAACAGGGTGAAACCTCGTCAATCAATTGAAGAAACAGGGTGAAACTTCGTCAATCAATTGAAGAAACAGGGTGAAACCTCGTCAATCAATTGAAGAAACAGGGTGAAACTTCGTCAATCAATTGAAGAAACAGGGTGAAACCTCGTCAATCAATTGAAGAAACAGGGTGAAACCTCGTCAATCAATTGAAGAAACAGGGTGAAACTTGGTCAAGACAGGTCCAAATGAAGTTTTATTTCAGTGCATGGATGAGAGCCAGCGTTGCAATCCGGTCAACCTTTAGTTTCCCATCCTCTCCTCTCCTCTCCCATCTCATCCCCTCCTCTCCCCTTCCCTTCCCTCCCCTCTCATTCCATCCCCTCCCCTTCCATCCCCTCCCCTTCCATCCCCCCCCTCCCCTTCCATCCCCTCCCCTCCATTCCTGAACTTCTACCTTCGTAATCTCTCGTCCACTGCTACAACTCAGCAAACACTGAGGGTGGTGAAAAAGGGAATCAAGTCAGACAAACATACGCGTTTCAAGACAACGAAGGGACAGAGAGACAAACACAAGAAGGAAGTTGGAGTAGACAACAGAAGAGAAAAGAAACATCTCTGATGCCTGACAGTGAGCAAGGGGCTTCCGAAGGGTGAAGCTTGATTTGTGTCAGTCATTATTACAGCAGAGAACCTTGAGAGCAAAACAAGTGAAGGAGAGGAGAAACATGGATGAAGAAACAGATGAGAAGACAGAGAGGAGGAGGAGGGAGGAGGGTAGCGAGCAGGGTAGCAAGCGTGACGGGGGAGATCAGGAGCTCATGTCGCTCTTCTCCGTTCCCCGCCATGCCGTCTACTGGAGGGCGCGAAGGGACGGGACATATAAGGGATAAAAAGAGAGGCTCGTCGGGGATTCGAACCCCGGTCTAAAGATTCAGAGTCTTTTGTGCTAACCGCTACACCAACAAGCCACATGCCTTGCACTGCGGCGTGGCTCTGACGTTTATGTAACAGTCAATCATTGAATTGACAGATTCAAGTCGGACGAGTCCCAGCGGCCTCGAGGCTCCTGAGCTTGAACGGCCGAAGTTGGGTCCGTTCCAGTGACGCAACTGACTCACCATTTGAAGGCTTCGGACTCACTTTCAGAGTCATGCGGCGGTTGGCGTTCTGGTTGATGGAACGTATCATAGCATGATGCCAGCGAGCCGTGCCAGTCAGATAGCGACGACTTACGTGTTTGCGAGGCGGCGATGTAGCGTGTGGGACGAAGAGGGGGCTTTCCTAGCCGTCTTACTAAGGTCCCCTCATGTCTGGATGCTTGGGTTTCACATCCTAGCATACAGTACGGTCTATCTCTCATGTGCTCCTCAATTCTCAGTCTGGTTTGAAAGTTTTGTGTGCATTAAACTCGGTCCGAAGTTGAGCAAAAACTGTCTTGTTACAACTAAGGTCGATGTGATATCTGCGTGACTTTGGACTAGTACAAGTCTAACAAACCGCCGAGGCTTTGATGCTGTAAAAGTCCGATATGCCGGGGATTTTTAATGCTCCGGCGTACTAGGGCCATTTGGCATCACTGAATCATTCCGTACAAGTTACCGGCGTACCAACCAGGTTGTTAGTTTTACTCTACGCTCAATTATCTTGTGCCGGGTAATGCACGACACGGGGATCACAGTTACGTGTGCACTCTCAGTCGTGTTATCTCAAAGTATGTGGATACTCCTTTACTGTAAAGTAGGCACTCCGACTACAAAGAGTTAGATTGGATTTACTAACTTGCTAAGGTTAGTTAGTAAATCAAATATAACTCCTGTTAGTGTGTCGGAGTTTTTCACAACTCAGTGATTACAAGTTGCAGTGTAGCTATTGGTTGAGAATGGATCACATACGCAACTCCCCAACTTCCGTCAGTCTGCTCAATACTAGTAGCAGCATCAGCCTTACAGTATCTCCTTAGTGAAGCCCGGCGCTGTGCTCTAGAGCCTGCACGGCGTCGGTCCCGGTTACATTTCCTCCTGCTCGTGCTCAAGACCGTTAGGAGATCCGGCCAGCTGCCCTCCTTCCGCATTCCGTGCAGGTCTCTCCCTTCCCTCCTCCACCTGGTCCCAACGACCAGGTTTGCCTGCTAGATCTCTCCGTTGAATGACGTCCATCATCCAACATTCTGCAGGAACTGCTGTCCCCCCACTGACACCTCCTCCTCCTACACGATCCTCTCAATCTCCATGTACCAGCGGAAAACATCCCATGCAAGTGCCATTCATGATCGTCGCGCAGCACTCGTCCATGCTCCCCTCATGCGCCTCCCATCGCAAATCGACACCTCCGCCGTCTATGCCTGCCCAGCACTCGCTGCCATCCCTCTTCTCCCCTCCTCAGCTCCCTCCTGGCCCAGCGCTACCATGCCATCCCAACAGGCCTGTCATCCTGCTACCCAGCAGTCGCACGTCCGCACCTGATCACAGCCGCTTCAAGCGCATGC